GCAGGATCTCTATGACCCGAGCAGATGGGTGAAGGAGGAGCGTCCTGGAGACCTTGGTGGCTTTTGCAGGCTTTTATTGGGATTTACCAGGTACACAGCAGGCAGGGGTGCTGGGGGGCTGGGAGGCCTGCCCAGCCTCCCAGCTCCCAGCAAGTTTTCACTCTACCTGGGCTCTCCGGCATTCTCTGGTGGCCTTGTTCTCTGCTGCTCTCGCTTTCACTCTTGTTCTCTCTGCTTCTATTCTCTGCTCTACTCCTTGCTTCTTTTGGCATTTCTGTGACGCCGCCCTTATAAGCCCAATCTCTCAGCCCAGGTGAATCTCATCTACATGCGCCCACACCCTACTCCAGGTGCCCGCCATCAGGTATGCATTCAGGACCGCAGGGATCCATCATCAATCCTGATGGTGGGAGGGCAGAAAAGCCTGATATCATTTACTTACCCTGCAGTTCACATATTAACAGACATGCAAAGGAACAAGAAAACCCCTCAACAACACAATGGAAACCAAACCCAAGATGGCCTAGAGCCTAGATGTTGGAGTTAGCATATAAAGATTTTAAAGAGCCACTAGAAAGTCAGGGAAAATATGTCCAAAGAACTAAAGAAAAATATTGTTGTAATGAATAAGCATAGTATTTTAGCAGAAAAATATAAAACAGAACCAAATTAAAATGACAGAATTCAAAAAAAATTCTCTCCCTTTTGAGAGAAAAGGAAAGAGAGAAAAAGCAAAGGCTGCACTATTGACAATTAGACAAAGGGGGTGCCAGCATTCACTGCACTTTCAAAAACTTCTGTAGAACTGAAAATCTTTGAAAGGGCCTCCCTGGTGGCTCAAGGAATTAAGTCTCAGCACTATGAAGCTATTGTCAGCCACTGCAGCATGAATTCAGGGAGGTGACCCACATGGCACAGCAGACCTCTCCTGTCTCGCCTGCTGCTCCCCTCATCAGTGTATTTCAGTAGATCTGCTTGTTCTGCTCCCCACTCTGTTTGTGGTGAATCCCCTCACCCCCTGCACCTCTGGCTTACACCCTGGTTCTTGTATGCATAAATAAATAAGATTAAGTCTTAAAAAAAAGAAAATCTTTGAGATTATAGAAACAAGAAATTTATGTATATTTTAGGACAATATAAAAAAAGTTGTCGGCAGAGGGTTAATCTAACCAAGTTTGTATTTGAGAAGCAGCTTTCCACTAAAAAGAAACAAGAGATAATGGCCTGATGTCGAGATGAGGCCCAAGAAGTTCTACTCCTAGCGAGAGACCTGCACTTGTCTAGAAGGTAAAGACCTGGCCCACGACACCAGCCACACAGTTGAGAAGGAACAGTTACGAGGAGTCGAAAAGGCGCGATATGCAGGACTTGGCCATTCTATGTGGGGAATAAGACAAGATGAAGTCAGTCAGCTACTAACATGGAGTTCCTTGTTGGAAGGGTGGTGGAGTGAAGCATCCATGCCAAAACTCAAAATCCCCCAAAAAATATACATATGAGGGCATCACCAGAAATTTTCCTTGAGATATGCACATGTCAGAGGCTGAGGAGAATCTTCACTGACTGGAATACCAGTGGAACTGGAGATACACAATCTCCACCCGCCCTGAGAACCACAGTAGCACCTACGGAGAGAAGTGCCATGATTTGACCCTGCCTGGGTCCCAGAGGCTACATTGACCAGCCAATCAAGATGTCACCCCCATTCACAGCAACTGTTCTTTTTGATCAGTTCCAAAACCCAAGCCCACCTCAGTTCCAAAACCCAGAACCCCATTTCTAAGCTTATTTAGGGGACACAACTCTCAGATCAGAGCCACAGCCTGGCGTGTCCCAGAATAAATGTCTCATCCCATTCCTTACACCTGAGTTATCTGATTATCAACCCCAATCTGGTTAATTTGATGCAACTTGGCATTATATCCTCCTGAGTTTTGTTTAAAGAGAAGAAATAAAAACTTTGCAGAGTGAATTGCAGCTGGAGATGGTCTGAGGTCAGAGGTTCTTTTCATGTCTGTTCCCAGAGTGTAACCTCCTGTGGACGGGGCACCTTGGACCCTCACATCAAAGGAAGGGGCGTTCCTGGTGACAAGCAGCGGGATTCCGCTCCTGAGGCCATCCAGAAGCAGGAAGCAGTAGCCACTGTGGGGAGGGACAGGGTTAGGGACCGGGGGAGCAGATGAGGGAGGACAACCACTAACTAGTGTCTGCACCCAAGGGAGCAGGCCACAAAGGATGCTTCACTGCCCACCAGCAGCCAGCACATCCATTCCTGTGTGATACCACGGGTCCTCTGAGGACAAACAAGTAGCCCACGGAACAGGAACTTGACATGAGGCAGTTCTGAGAAGAGCAAATAGCAACACCTGGGAAACGCTGGCTTCCCCCAAAACAACCTGCCATCAGGCCAGTTGATTTTCAGACCCTACGCACATGCTCTGAACTCAGAACACACCTGCATTGCCTGCCTGGGCCCCAGGATGCTCATAATAAAGCCTGAGCGGTCATAACTCAGTGTTCACTTTGGCAATAAATAAACAAACAGAGGGCATCTTCCTTCAGAAAACAAATAGCCCTTCTCTAAGCTGAGGGTCTGGATTATTCTCCTGAAGGACACCCAGTGTCTTCATAGCTGGCCAGAAAGTCCAGCAAATTCCCCCAGGGGTCCCGCCAGGGCATCCATGGTGCAGCCTGACCACATGGGCTGGCAGGGCCGCCAGATCACTCCCTGTTCACCTGTGCTGGGAGAAACAACAAGCTTATCCATTCTGCCGCTTGTCCAGGAATAAGGAGGGTGTTGCAACCAGTCATCCGAGGCAGGGAGAGGGAACAAAACCAGGCGGGGATCCTTAATACCTGGCGGCAGTGGCCCAGATTTAACAGAGAAAAAATTTGTCCCTCTGAGAAGTCTCAGAGAAACCATCCCTTGATTATTCATAGCAAGGTTGGGAGGGACAAGGAAGGAAATGGAAAGCCAGGATATGTGAAAGTCACAGAGGATTCCAAACTGCATTTGGTTAGTAATCTCAGCAGCCTCAAGAGTTGACCAAACAGACTTTCTGCCCAGCTCCCATGGTCTCCGCCCAGCAAGGCCCCACTCCAGAGGCTTCCAGTCCCTCCTGCTAACTGATGACTAAAAGCAGAGGACCTACTCAGATGGACACAGTGCAAACCCATCCAAAGCAACACATCCCCTGCGCTGGGAGCACCCCCTGCGGGTGCAGGAAATTCTGGACCTGGTCTGACCTGTTGTAGGGTAAGGTAAATAGCATCAGGCTTTTCTGCCCTCCCACCATTAGGATAGATGATGGAACCCTGCGGTCCTGAATGCATGCCTGATGGCGGGCACCTGGAGTAGGGTGTGGGCAGAGGTAGATGGGATTCACCTGAGCTAAGACTGGGCTTTTAGGGGCGGCGGCGCGGGGACGCTAGCAGAAGCTGAGAGAGAAGCAGAAGAAGCTAAGAACGAACGGAAGCCTACAGAAGAAGAGAAGCAGAGAGAACGCCAGAGAGAGCCCAGATAGAGTGAAGATTTGCTGGGGGCTGGGAGGCCTGCCAGCCTCCCGGGCCCCCAGCACCCCTGCCTGCCATATGCCTGGTAAGTCTAAATAAAAGACCTGCAAAAGCCACTGAGGTCTCCAGGACTCTCTCCTCCTTTACCCGGTCTACTGGATTAGAAAGTCTGCACTGTGTCATTCCTGCCCCTACACCTGCCAAACACAGCCAGCCCAGCCCTTTGTGGTCACCAGGCAAGCTTACTTCAGAGGGAGTCAGAGCTCTAAAGCCTGCTTCTGTGTCCAGCATGCAAATGTCCTCGCCAACTGAAGGCCAGGAGATCATAGGGCCCCTCTCTCCCCTCTGGGCACCCGTCTCTGTCCAGGCAACAGTAAGCTGCCCTTGGACCTGAGGAGCCTGGCTCTGCCTGCATCACTTCTGCTTCTTGGAGCAGCCCCTGGCCTCTCCTCCAGACCCAGCCCTTGACCTCTGCCACCTCACTGCTCCTTCATGGAAATAAGCAAGCCTCTAACGAGCAAGCGAGCAAAACAAACAGGGCAGGGAAAGCTGCACAATGTCCCATTGTTCTTTTGGGGATAAGGAAGCAAGTTTGGCTTCTCTGGCCCAGAGTTGAATTTCCTCATTCTCCCCTTGTGAGAAATGACCCACTGGTTCAGACCATTACACTTAAAAGCAAAGATGTGGGCCATCCAGGGCAATTTTCACTTTTTTCTATTTTAGAGAGTAAATTTGAACTTCATGTTTTAAAATGGTGTTACAAGGAGCACAGCTTTCCAGAACACCAGGGGAAACTGAGATTCAGCCTCAGTCGCTGTAGCACCTAGACAAAATGTCTGGCTGAATCAACCTAATTCTCTATTCTAGAAAAAAATTCCTTCTTCCTCTTTCAGTTTACTTTTTTTAATCATTGGGAATGATTTTCCCAGGATGAATTGAGAATTTAGCCATTGTGACCTCAGGCTCGTGACCATCCCTAACCCGACCCTGAACACCCACGACTGAACTGTGTCGCAAAGGAACAGAGACAATTAAAATAAGTGTCGTCCATTCCCACCTTGACAGAGCTTCCAGAGGATTCTGATCTGAGTACCGTGGCCACAAGTCAAGAGAGTCATTAGCAGGGCTTAGAAACCTCCCTTGCAGCTGGGCCCCATGGTAAACAAGAAGAAGATAGGACAACAACATTGGTGATAAAGGTTCCATAAACTGGACAATGCAATGGTGGAGTTGAACGCTATCCCCCAGTCAGTATCCAAGGCAACCAAAATATTCACCTTAGATTGTTCAGGCTACAAGATCTGCGCCCACCCCCCACCTCCCGCCCCAGAAATCATTTAGGCAGAATGGATCTGGGCGCTGTGTCCATCTCACTACAGTTAAACTTGGCCACACTGGTGGGCAGAGCCTGGCACGTTCACCTTAGATGCACAATAACCACAGAGGCCTCCCTGAGTGGCCAGCCTCCCAAACAGGGCACCACTTACCATCAAGCTCCTCCACGGAGATATTAGCAAGCTGCTCGCTGTCGCTGCCAGCAGAGAGGGATCGGTTGAGGTAATTGCCCTTGTACAACAGGCCGGCGGTCACATGGTGGAAAGGCATCTTCTCCCTGTCCACAACAGAAGGGGGCGGGGAGAGAAAGACATCATGATTCATACCTCCCTTCCTTCCTGAAAGGACCACCCCGGCTTTCAGATGGCCAGAGTTAATTTTAAAATGACAATAATGTTTCTAGAGGGAAAGTCAGGGAGTGCCAGGGTACCCATGGCCTGAACAATTCCCAAAGGATCTCAGGTGCGAGTTCTTGCTTCACTTTGCAGCTTATTTCATTTTCCCCATTTAATTATGAATTGGAACTGCGTTGTCCTTGCAGACTGTGGGACGCCGCGTCACATCCAACTGTCTCTCCACGCAAACAAGAAGCCTCTCCGCGCCTTTCTTTGGCCTGATCACCTTTATCAGTTCTCATAAGAAAGGACTGGCATCCCAGTCATGTGGGGCTGCCCAGGGACTGGGTATCTTGGCTGTGACCTTGAGGCGATCCACGGCTTTCCCGTCCCCAGGTACAGCTGGAGCTCTGTTCCCACAGCGCGCTGGGAGAGGTAGAGAACACCAGGCTCTAAGCACAGCCCTCTACCCCTGACTGGAGGCAGACACCGATTTGCACACAGCCTGGACCACACCCTTTAAGACACCAGTCACACCGGTGCTGCTGCGAAGGTGTTGGCACCTCAAGGTGTCCCCGAACCAAGCAGCCTCCAGCCCTCTTGCAGGAATCTAAAGCCTCACTTGGACCAGACTGACAAGCCCTTCAGAAAAGCTCCTCCACCCGGACGACCATCAGCACCACCTAGACACGGAAGTCCCCACCGGGCAAGGGAGGCCAGAGCTCCAGGGAAGCGGGGAGAGGGGAGGAGAGGTGGTGAGGAGACTGAAAGAGCAAGCACAGAAGAGGACGAGGACAGCAGAAAGCTGGAAAGGGCACGGCTCTCCATCACGGCGAGCACACCACTGAGCAGGCCACGTTCTGCTCCCACCTGGGGAAGGAGGCTACGAGGACGGACATGCCTTTGAGCAGAACGAGGGAATGGGGAGGAAGGACAGGGAGGCAATGACATGGCAGGGTGATGAACACCTTTGAACAGCTCCAGGGGGATGAGCTGGGCGGCACAAAAAAGGGATAATCTCCCCACCACTGCAGGCATTCAAGCAGAGGCTGGGCCCTCTTGGTCCATGTTCTATGTGAGAAAAATGACCCCTGAACTTGCAACTGAGGATAAATGGCTAAATTGGTCTCCGACCCTAAAAACGTAGAAGAGAGAAAGATGGAGAAACATGTAAATTTTCTCTGAGACTTGCTTTTACAGACACAGCAGAGCCTGGAGGCTTATCCATCAACCTTGAGCTGAGCTTCAAGACCTGCTGCAGTTGACAGGCACAAATACAGAGGAGGGGGGATACCCAGAAGTGAGGGGGCCCCTCAAGAGAAACGCAAAGCTCCATGATCTGAAGAAAAGCCTCCTTGTACTTTTGATATACAAACAGCCCTGTAACTTGAACTCTAGCCCAGCCCACATTTCTTCGCCCCTAGTAACTTTTCAATCAATAAAATTGAACTCTTTGGTTCCTACCGCCTCCAAATCTATATGCCTTCATCCCCTTTCTTAGTGGGAGAGGCAGACTTGAGTTTATCTCCTATCAGCCTCTTTCTTGCCAACCAATTTGAAATAAAGCTTCTTTCTCTTCTCAAAACCTGAGCTTGTGGTATCAGCTTCCGGGCACGTAGGACGCCCACTGCTGGGTAACAAGCTCCCCCCACGCATCTATCATTCTCCAACTAAGTCACTGAAGTGTCCCTTTGGCACTCAAGTTTGCATCTGCACAATAGTTGAAGAGGTCCAAATGGCCCTCTTGGGCACTCCCATAACATGCTGTAAATTATAGGAAGAGACAGCGAACAGCAGGCCATTCTCTGAGGACGACCATTCAGGGCACCTGAAACTTACTGTCCCTCAAACTCCACTCGTGACAGCAGTCATCCCTGGTCACGGGATGTTGGAGCTGGCAGGCAGCAGAGACCAGGGGCTCCTGTCTGCTTTTCCCAGTGACATCACTGAGAGACATCCTCTCTCTCCCTCCAGTCTAGAACACCCAGCATATCCCAGTTCTGGCCGAGAGCTGCCGATGGAGAGATCAGTCAAAGAGACTCCTGAAAGTAACCAGGCTTGAACAAGAGCACAAAGCCAGGTCATGAAAGAATCAGTTCTAGAGCACAAGTATCCTTAGTGCTATTTCAACTAAGCAGCCTCAGCAAAGCACCAAACATTTCCAGATGTCAAACTCTCATTTCAAATGCCAGAGTCTAAAAACGAATTAATTATCTTCCTTAAAAAAAATAGGCCACACTTCCTGATTCCTCTTCTTCTATCAAAGGTACTTTTCACTCTTCATAACAACTGGGACAGCTCGCAAATGTTCCAGGGCCTGTAAAGTAAAATACACACACGGCTCAGGAAGAGCCTGCCGTCAGATTCCCAACCATTCTTAACATTCCCATGGCTAATAATAAAATGCACGTCCAATGAGAGGTGCATCCGCCCGCCCGGTGCAAATGGTAGGAGGATAGTTACAAAGTACACATGCATTTGCCTACTCTAAGGATGACATCTTCTGCTAATTATACCTCAGACTCCCCCCTCCCAGCCAACTCTATCCTTACACAATAAGCTTCATTTCACTTACCATCTCCTTTTTCTCTCCAAGTTAAATTTCAAACCAAACAGGTTTAAAAGTGAGACTTAGACATAGGAGTTAGGACCACACTCCCTTTTCCTAAGACCATCCTGGCTTGGGAGTCACGTCCATGGTCATCTCAGCATGGAAGGATTCCCACAATCCAGGGGATGAGACATAACAGTGTGGGGTTTCAGCTTCGCTGTCACTTCTGTCCCCTGGGCCTGGTCAGCTTCACCAGTCTCACCATTGTTTAATCCATTCTCAATATGGGAAGACACCCACCTAATCTAACCTCCCTTCACTCTTGGAGGGAACCCCATCAGGTCCGTGCAGATGCTGGAAGCATCCCTACCCTCTTTACCACTGGTCCATCTAGCTTCTCAGCACCTTGTAAAATATCTTCCCATTATCACCTTTTATCAGGTTTTCTGATGCTTTGGATCTGCCACGCATTTTTACAGCCGTAGTTACAAGGTTATACTCAAATGAACATTTCCCAGCCACTCCCCAGTTCAGCCACAGAATGCTAAGTACTCTGCAGAGAAAACTAGTCACAAATGAATCCCACTCAATAAACCAACATAATTTGCTTCTGAAAAAAGCAGCCTACAAAATTAGGTACACATTCAGTTCATTCAGTCTCTGCACCCAAAACGCTCTGAGTCTAGTGGGAGAGAAAACATGTGCAATTGAACCATCCATATAGATAAATAAAGTCATGTTCAAGAAAAGGAAGAACATTATTCCCAGCAAGCTAAAAACAGCTGCTGCAATTAAGGACTAAATTTCACTCCAAGCCACATGGGGAAACCCAAGCGTTAAGATATTCTCTTTGGCTAAGGAAGGGAAATATACAAAGTTCATTGGCAAAGACAAACACAGTCTTGAACTCAAACTTAAAGATGAATCCATACAGGGAGTGCAAAAAAACTCTGTTTTTTCCTGACAGCTTTCTTACTCATTGAGAGATAGTACTTAAATGGCTTATCAATGAACAATTTTTTTCCTGTATTTTCTGTAAGGCAGGAGGGGTTAAGAACCAGGTTAAGAACTGGTTAAGAACCAGGACTTTCTGGTTAAAACCAGTATTAGATTTAAATCCTAGCTCTGCCTTTATCAGCCATATAGTTAATTTACTTAACCTCTGCAAACCTCGGCCTCCTCCTCTGTAGAACTAGGGTTTTGATGCCTATTGAACAGTATGTTTGTAAATATGAAATAAGACAAGGAATAGAAAGCACTGGACTTAGCACCCGGCATAGTCTCAGTGAATAGCATCAATAATTATTTGCCAAGGATTAGAGAAAGCAGGATGCAGGGCAAAAGAAGATTATGAACATATCAGCTTGAAGCTTCACCAGACTCAGTTATAAAGGAGGGTCAGTAAGGGCTTGGTGGAGGATCTGTTTCAGAGAGAAGCTAGCTGGCACCGCACATTATAGTACTGAAGGACCCAGTGCATGAGCACCCAGGGCAGGTGAGCGGTGTTGGCAAGTTGCTGGATATATCAGGTGCCAAGGGTTATTTGACTGGAAAGCACCAGAGCTGAAGAAGAGACTGTTTTCTGAGCACCAGGGAGGCTGATTCCCTTGGTCACAGCCAGAACAAGGTGTCAAGAGGTTGAAAATGAAATGGGGTGGTTCCTATTTTCAAAGTTAAGAAACTGGTACATGTCTTGTAGAGGGATTGACTGAAGCACCCCACTCACACTGACTTGATCCAATGCCCTTATGTGATGGTCAATTTACATGTCAACTTGAGGGGTCTCAGAGTGCCCAGATATTTGGTTAAACATTATGCTGGGTGTGTGTTATGAGGGCAAATCTGATGAGATAAACATATGAATCAGTAGACTGAGTAAAGAAGATGACCCTCCCCAGTATGGATGGACCTCCTCCAAGCCATTGGAGATCTAAGTAAAAAGAAAGAATAAGGGAGAATTCTTTCTCTCTCCCTGGTTGCTTAAGCAGAAACACTAATCTCCTGCCTTTGGACTCCAACGTGAACTAAAACTTATACCATCAACTCTCCTGGGTCTCCAGCCTGCCAGCTGCAGATTGTGGGATTTCTCAGCTTCCATCACCATGTGACACAATTTCTTATGTTTATTTCTCTTACCATAGGTTGATAGTAATATGGACAAAGAATGCACCAAAACATAATTCTGCAAAACCTCTAAAACAATGCTACTCAAAGTGTGGTCCGAGGACCACTGCCAATTGAACACCATTTGTTGCTGGTCTGCAATTAGATGAGATAGGAACAGAGAAAGTGTTGACAATGTATAATACTGTCCCAATATCTAAGCATGTAACCAGTAGACTTGATTTTTGTTTATCTTTGTTTTAATTTTTCCCGTAATTCATTCTTTCT